ATTCTGATTTGGAATTGGCAGTAGTGGTTTTTGCCCTACGCATTTGGAGGCATTATCTGTTGGGTGAAGCTTTCAGATTATTTAGTGATCACAAGAGTCTGCAGTAATTGTTCACTCAGCGGGAGTTGAATATGAGACAGCGCAGATGGTTGGAGTTTGTAAAAGACTATTACTTTTTTATACAGTATCATCCAGGGAAAGCGAATGTGGTGGCGGATGCACTCAGTCGCCGACTTGTTGGTAGTCTTTCTGTTTTATTCACCACTGAGTGGAATGCTTTGAGGAATGTGGATGAGTTATCAGATACTGTTATGGCTTGCATGGTGGTTACACCTTCCATCATTCGTAAGGTTTTGAAAGCTCAACTCACAGATCAGCAGTGCATGGACAAGGTTGCAGAGATAGCTTTTGGGGAAGTTCCATTTTACTATGTTGGGACTGACGAAGGCTTGAGGTATAAGGGACGCTTAGTAGTACCTTCTGCTAACGATTTGAAGAAGGATGTGATGACTGAGACTCATCACTTTGAGTTTTCGGTTCATCCAGGAGGGGGTAAGATGTATCAGGATATGAAGAGGCAGTTTTGGTGGGCTGGTATGAAGATGGACATTGCTCTTTTTGTTTCTTAGTGTAGTACTTGTCAGATGGTTAAGATTGATCATCAAAGGCCGCCAGGAGCTCTACAGCCAGTACCGATTCCGGAGTGGAAATGGGAGAGCATTTTTATGGACTTTATGGAAGGGTTGCTAAATTCCTTCAAGGATCACAATTCCATTTGGGTTATTGTGGATAGACTGATGAAATCAGCTCACTTCTTGCCTATTCGCACTGACTTCATTTCGGAGCAGCTGGCGAGGCTTTACATTTCAGAGATTGTGAAGTTGCATGGCATTCCATTGTCTATCAAGAGTTTTCAGCAGGCTTTGGGTACAGAGTTGCATCTTAGCACTGCTTATCATCCTCAGACTGATGGACAGACTGAGCGGGTGAATCAAATTATAGAGGATATGCTTCGGTAGTGTGTTCTTGATTTCAAAGGCCACTTGGAGGATTCCTTACTGCTTGTGGAGTTTGCTTATAATAATAGTTTTCAGAAGACTATTGGGATGGCACCTTTTGAGGCGTTATACGGCCGACTGTGTCGATCGCCTGTTTGTTGGATGGAGGTTGGTGAGAGCAGATTCTTGGGTCCTGAGTTCATCAAGGATACTTCTGAGAAGATAACTCTTATTCGAGATCGCATGCATACTGCCTAAAGTAGGCAGAAGAGCTATGTTGATCGTCGCACTCGGGCATTAGAGTTTCAGGTTAGGGATTAGGTTCTACTCAAAGCGTCTCCTATGAAGGGTGTTATGCACTTTGGGAAGAAAGAGAAGTTGTCTCCGCGATTTGTTGGTTCATTCATGATTACGTATCGCGTTGGAGCTGTTTCTTATCGGTTGGCACTTCCGGATAATTTGGATCGCGTCCATAATGTGTTCCATGTTTCCATGTTGTGGAAATTTCTGCGAGATGAGGATCGGTATCAGCATATCGATGTTGAAGAGATTGAGTTATTTAGAGCCACCGTGTCGTATTGTCGATCGTCGTGATCAGATCCTTCGTAATAAGGTGATTCCTTTGGTGCGTGTTCAGTGGAGTCATCACAATGAGGCTGAGTCCACTTGAGAACGGGAGGATGTCATTTGCTCGCAATTTCCTGAAATATTGGAAAAAGGTAAGAGCGAATTCCGAGGATGGAATTCTTTTTGTTAGGGAGAAATAATGTAATACTCCTAAATTTACAAAGGATAGTTCTGGAATTTCATTAATTCTTTTTTTTTTTTTTTTTCTTGCATTATTTGATTATTTAATTGCATTAATTAGTGTTATGTGATTTATTTGTAATTTAATTGCATTATTTGATTTATTTGTTGGATTAATGTGATTACTTGTTTAATGGTATAAATAAATTGAATTAATTATTTTGTTGCATTTAATGTTTTCATTACCTGAATTTTATTTGAAGAATTTAATTAAATGTAATTGGTTGCTAATTTAACGTGACTGTAGGGTTGGTTGCACATATATAGTTTTCATAGGCAACCGACATTGTTTTACCTAGGTTTGCTTATGGGCCGAATTATACATGGATTAAGGTGTAATGTCTAAGTTTATAAATAGGTGTATTACGGTGGTTTAGGGTTTAAAGAAACAACAAAACAAAAACGTAAGTTTCTGTGTGGAGGCATAGAGGTAACAGAGACTTGTGAGAGAACTGAACGATAGAAAACAGAACAAGGCTTAGGAGGAGGACAGAGAGGACCAAGGGTGAGTAGTGGTGGATTAAACCAAAACCATAGGAGGTTTGAAGGTGGTCAGGGGTTGCTGAAAATTAGGAAGATGGCGATACAGTTTTGAAACCAAAATTACAGGCAAGTTCTTCTCTTTCTCTTTCTCTTTGGCTCGTGTTCTGTGCACCTAGATAATCTCTAGGGTTTAATCAACCAGTAACTGGAATTTACATGTTTAATATATGTTATATTAATGATCTGGTTGTGTTAAAATCAAAACTGTAACAATTTCTACATGTCTCGTTCCAGTTGTTTTTCTGTAAGCATGTTAACTCTGTTGTAACTTTAGACTTTGTAATTGATTTCAACTACTGCAAACGAACCATGGGGATGTTACTGGGATGAGATAAGATCCTTAGGTTCAGTGGTGAAGAGGAACAGAGGGGTTGGAATAGAACTGAAATTTCTTAAATTAGTTTCAGTGTTGTTTTCAAACATGCTAGTTTAATGGCTTTGTTTAATCTCTGTAATTGATTTCAAATTATTGTAAACAAATCTTGGGCATGATTCTAGGCTTAAATAAAACTCTTAAGATCAGTTTTAAAAACCAACAGAGTGATAGGAATAAGCCGGAGAAGGAGCAGAGAAGCTGAAACGAAGCACTGGGGACTGAAGGCTCTCAAAAGAGGTGAGAGCCGGCTCCATAGAAGTGGGAGCCAGCTCCCACATAAGTAGAGCCTGCTCTAAGACTTCTAGAGCCGGGTCTACGCTCAAAAGAGCCTGCTCTTCAAAAATTAGAGCAGGCTCCCTTTAGTTTTTGTTTTATGTTATATGTTTTTACGAACTATTTGTACTGTTAAGCATGGAAACTGTTCCTAATGGGTCTGGGTTTTCATAGAGGGACTAAGAAGTTGTTTTTGGGTGTTATTAAGACCCTAAATTAATTAAAGTTTAATTCTAAATTGTTGGGATTAACAGTATACAGTTAATTAATGTTCTATGCTATTAACGGATGGAAGACAAGATAATTGCTTAATTAAATTACAACAATTAAATGGGATTTAATGTGTTTATAAAACTTGTTTTAAATGCATGGTGAAATATTTTAATTAATAAATTGGACTTGTAGCATAGTGCATGGCTCTGTTTTAAAAGATAAAACAGAATACTAGTGTACAACTTAGTAAGCTGTTACCGGATATAAAGAACTAAGTTGCTTAAATTAATTTAGCAATTTATTGGACTATAATATAATTATAGAATTCATTTTAAATGCATGATAGAGTCATTGATATATTAGATTTGATCTATGCCTGCTCTGGATGCTAGTTGTGAATTATTAAACCGTTTCCAGCAATTACATGGTTTAATTCTTGGATTTAAATTGCTGAAACTTTAAACACTTTTCTGCAATGATTTGAATATTGGTTTTAGACTGTAAATTACTAACTTATTATTTATGTTTTGTAATTTACATGAATATGAAGGATTGTATGCACCGGTATGGGACGGTGACATATTAGGGACAGTTTAGCTCAAAACGCTTAAACCTACCCTAATGGATTAAAGGATGGATTGAAAAATATTAAATCCTAATTATGACTAAGTCAGATCAACTGCGACTAAGTTAAATGGCTTCCTAGATTAATGGATGGTAGCTAAGTCATATCAACTGAATAAGTTGAGAGACTAACTAGTTTATTTATTGTATGTCAGTTCAATAAATATTTGAACTACATACCCTGGTTTTGGACGAACTTTATATATATGTTTATGGTACCACGAGATGAGCTTGAGTCTCAGACTCGTTGGTTAGGGTGCGTATATGCAGTGGATGTGTAGCTGGTTATAATAGGTTAAGGTGTACCCTGTTAGGTCTAGGTACTCATGCCCACCTTTGGGTGCATTTTTGCATGTTGCTTTTTATTCACGTTGAGACCCCTATTATAGACTAGTGAATGTTCCTTAGTGTCGATATATTTATATGTATGGACTAGATAGATATTGTGAGGTGTCTACGGTGTATCTGCTTATTGGGTCACTGTATGGATTACAGTTAGATTAGAACTTGCTCGTGGGCCTGACCCACTCTTCTATTATTCTTTTTAGGTGCAGGACGGTTCCAGCCTTAGAGTTTGATCATGCTTATCGAGGATAGTCTCTCATTCATCTACGTATGTAGGACTTCTCTCGATGATTCTAGTTTGATGTCTTCAGTTCCAGTTCAGTTGAGATTTTCTTTAGGGGTCCACTATTTGGATTCCCAAGTTGTAACCTTGAAGGTTTTGGAGGATTGAATTAATATTATTTATCGTTGGAGGATTTTATTAATATTTCTTTTGGTTTTCTTTATTTAAATTCTTAATTTTCTATTCTGTGTTCGATTTAATTGTTTGATATCCCTCAGGTTTGGGCTTGGGCCTGATCAACCCGTGTCTCGGATCCGAGGGGTATCACAGTGAACCTGCCCCTGTAAGTGCAAGTGGAGTACCTAAGAGATCATCAGTTGCAACATGCAAGTATTGCCTACAAACTGGTCATAATAAAAGGACTTGCCAGAGAGCTCAAACAACAAGAGAAAGAGCTGCAGCAGCAAGAGGGAGGGCTGTAAGTGCAAGAGGAAGAGCTCAAACAGCAACAGTGAGTGTTTCAGTCAATTTTAAACTTGCTATGTTTTGATAAATTTCTTTTATTACTGTTTAATATACCTTCTAATTGTTAATTTAGGAAAACATAAGGTCTCAAACTCAAGGATCAGAAGGAGCAGGAACTTCTGGTGTTACACAACAGGTATAAGTCCTTACTTATGTTCACTATAACAAATTTTTAATTCTATAATTACCTAATACTGTACTTAGCTAATTTTTTTTGTTTAAATTTTTTCCAGTCCCAAACTGCTAGGATATGTGGAAGAAATGTAAGTGCAAGAGGTGGAAGAAATGTACATGCAAGAGGAGCTTCTCAACCAAATGTGAGTGGCATTGGTGGTGGTTCTCGATAAAATGTGAGTGGTAGCAGAGTTGGAAGACAGCCAAACCAGAGTGGCATCAGAGGTGGAAGACAGCCAAGTGAGAGTGGTATTGGTGTTAATCCTCCGCCATGGGTAAGTAATAAATTACCTAATATTTATCCTTATACATATTAATTTATTGTTGCATTAATATTCTAATCCTAATATTCAATTACAGAGAGAGTAGCAAAAGCAGTAGTACCAAGGAAAAAAACACAACAGCGAGCTGGTTTTAGAGAGGGTAACTAGCAGTTGGAGGCTCCTTTGGGTTTTATTCACCATACAACAGTGAGGATTTTTTTATGACCTACTTTGTTTGAAACTTGTAAGTTTGTGGTTGACAAAGGTTATGTTTGTAAGTTTGTGGTTGACAATGGTTATGTTTTTTTTTTTTTTTTTTTTTTTTTTTTTTTTTTTGTGGTTTCTCAGTAATAGATGATGCTTGATTTGTGATTGTATATGCATGTGCAATGATAATAGATTGATGATGCTTCAATGGTAAATGTACTCAATATAGGTCAATATTCATTACATAATTTTATTTCAAATAAATAGCAAAAACAGATAACAAGAAGTAAGCAAATACAACTATCTTCAAATACAAAATAGTTGTTTCAATAACTAGTAACCTTGAACCTATAGCTTGTCTCTGCAACCTCAATTCAGCAACAACCTCAAGCAAAAGTTGATTTGCAGGTGAATACTCCTCAGTAGCACCAACAACAGCAGCACCAACAGAATCATCTATAGGGTTACACCATTCCCAAAAACTACATGTTTCATTTTCACAAGTATAATACAGCCTTCCTTTGTTGCGATTTTTGTCATTCTCTATAACCTTCACTATAGCAAAATCCCCACAGCGACAAATCTTGTTCCTATACTGTATATAGCCTCTGCCTCTACCTTCACGACTATTTACGCTTGATTGAGACATCACTTTACATAGGAGAATATAAGAGAGGAAGAGAGGCACTTTACATAGGAGAATATAAGAGAGGAAGTGCAAAAAAATATTGTGCCTATCTCCTATTTATAGAAGCCAAACATGATCGTTGGAGTTGAGGGGCAATCTGGGCTTTAACATGGACTTTGTGGGCAATCTGGGCATTTTAAATACTTTATAACCTGAAGCCAAACATAACCATTAATATTTGTAAACAAACAAAACCGTTTAGGGACAATCTGGGCATTAAAAGCTTTTTTTTGCTGACGTCGGCAAAAAGTATCTCTGACCAACTTTGACCGTTGACTGAGGGGGAAGACTGATCTGTGTCAGAAAAAGTAGAGGGTCTGACTGAAATTTTGCAAATGTGGAGGGGTCTCCTTAAAGTTAGGACATACCTCAGGGAGTGTAACTGAAGTTAACCCAATATATATCCACAATAAAAGCTGTGAAATCCACTTATGAGGATTCAAATCAGTTCTATATATAATAAACTTGAGCACGTGTTATGATGTGCCGATGTTTGTTTGTTTGTTTGTTTTTTTTTTTTAAACCTACTTCATATATGGAAGGAAAGTATGTACGTGCTACAAATTGATAATCACTGTCCTATGAATAATCTTCATTTTATTGTTTTGTTTTGCTTAATGTGTCTCTGAGAGAGAGAGACACAAGAGAAGAAAGAAAACGAGGAAGACAGAGAAGCATTGTCCTTAATTATTAAGTCATATTCTTTTATATATTTTAATTAACAAAGAAGTGGTATCTCGATCAACTAAAGTGATCAAAAGGTGAATGGTTGAAGTATTGTAAGAGTTGTTCTCCACCACAATGGACAAATAAATAAAATAAAATAAAATAATATAAACAACACAAAGATTTAATCAATCTTCATTTTCTAATTTTTTTTCAGGTACCTTTTGTGCATATATGTTTCTGTGATCATATACAGTAGTCCTAACTGTTAAGCAAAATTAGCATTCAATTATGACAAATAACCTTTTAGATCCATACATTAACAAATATTAGGAATATATGTATACAATTTGAGGACTCGTCAACCTCTCATTTAGGAATTATATATTTTACACTAAGCCAAAAGAAATTTTTTTTTTTTTTTTTCTTACCGGAAAAATAAAAAAATAATAATAATAGTTATCAAAGTAACTTGCGGGTATAAAAAAATTAACTCAAAGTCAGAGCTAATATTTTCCAACAATACTAAATTCCAGTAGTCCAAACAGCTGCCTTCCTAAATGAAAAACATTCAAACTTAAGCAAGGACTTTAGTGAAGGTCCTGATCCACCACCATATAGTGATAATCAAGGATGAAAAGTCTATATGATTAATAAATGTTGTCACACCCATAAAATATATTTTGTATGGTCTTAATGAAGTGGTGGAATCCATTGAAAGTAGCCGTTTAATTACTGAAATTTAATTGCACAAAAAACTAACATTTCTTAATCATTTGATTTTTTTTTTGGGTAAATAATTTAAAAAAAAAAAATGGAAAATTTAATCCTTTGAAAATTCACAAAGACAAACTAATTAGAATGGTAAAAAGTTTCTTGTAGGCATCATAATATAGATTTAAATAAATCAAACGGCCGGCGATGGAAGACTGACCACACATTTGGAAAGCATTTAAATTTTGTTCTAGTAGCTCTTAAAGGTTGTTGGTTGAGGGCCTGAGGCGGGCCTTGCATTGAGAAGCAATATATGAGAAGCCAGGGACGCCACGAACAGAAGACGTAGTCCACTTAAATTGTCATGTCCACATTATCTTTATTTATGTAAGAGAAAGACGTGTGTACCTTGGGAGAAAAAAATTGGTGTGACCAGGCGCGGAGGGAGGTGGAGGTGGAGGTGGGGGTGGGGCTAATTTTTTTAAAACCTAGCTACATAATTTAGGTTACTAAGTTGCTATTTGATAAAATTAAAAATTAAGTATTAAAAATTTTAAGACCTTATATTTTTAAGTGGTAATAGAAAAATAATTTTTTTTTTTTTTTAATTTTCAGCGTTTAGCATTCAGTGATAAGTGTCTCTCGCACTTTGGCAGAAGACTTTAGCTTATTATCCGTGACGTGTATTCAATTTGAGTTAAATGATTCATGTGATGATGATATGATCATTTACCAAAAATTTTATGGAAATTAAAAGTGTGACTTTCCTATCTATGAGCCAACAGCCACCCTTCCCCTATAAAAACAACCCCATTCCCTCAACACCACCCCACAAGCACAACCCATATGCTACTTTCTCTCAATCCAGACATGAACTTCTCCAAATCTCTCTTCCTTTCCATTTTCCTTCTCACTACCCTCTTCTTCACCTTCACCCATGCAGCCCTTTTCAATGTCATAAACAACTGCCCCTACACGGTTTGGGCTGCGGGCGTCCCCGGTGGTGGCATGCGGCTTGACCCAGGCCAAACTTGGGACATCAATGCCCCGGCAGGCACAACAGGAGCCCGTATCTGGCCCCGAACCGGTTGCAACTTCGATGCATCAGGCCGGGGCAGCTGTCAGACCGGTGACTGCAATGGACTCCTCCAATGCAATGGCTATGGTGCACCTCCTAACACACTAGCTGAGTATGCCTTAAACCAATACCAAAACTTGGATTTCTTTGACATTTCTCTTGTGGACGGGTTCAATGTGCCCATGGACTTTAGCCCAACGTCCAATGGGTGCACCCGTGGCATAAGATGTACAGCTGATATTAACGGGCAATGCCCGAATGAATTGAGGGCACCGGGCGGGTGTAATAACCCGTGTACCGTGTTCAAGACCGATGAGTACTGTTGCAATTCCGGGAATTGTGGGCCCACAAATTTCTCAAGATTTTTTAAGGAAAGGTGCCCAGATGCTTATAGTTATCCCAAGGATGATCAAACTAGCACATTTACATGCCCTGGTGGGACCAACTATAAGGTTGTGTTTTGCCCTTGATCACCTGCTGATACTGATTTTCGTAATAAAAACTGTAAAATCCACTTATAAAGGATTCAAATCAGTTTTATATTTATATATAGAATAAATTTGAGCACATGTTATAATGTGCTATGCTTTCTGTGTAACCTGCTTTATAATGTATGGAAGGAAACTAGATGTTGGTAATCACTTTTCTTTGTGTGTGTGTGATGTGCGAGAGAGATGACTGTAAGTCTAAAATGTCATCATAAGAAAGAAAACGAGGGACGCCAGTGCTACTAATCCTTGCAAGCTGTTCCCATTTGGAATCTATTTGTACTTTAACCTTTGTAGAGAGTTGGAGACCTGCATCTTACTTGGTGAAACAAAGGAAGCCCAGTGCTTCATTTGTGTGTGTGTGAGAGAGAGAGAGGGGTGGGGGACGAGGGAAGACACAGACATGGAGGACATAAGCATATTCCTTGAGTCATATTCTTTTATGCAACTCCGTGATGCTTCATTTGATGTATAATTAATTCTTTTTCAAAAGGAGGTGAAAGGTTCGCTTTCTTGGTAGATATATTTATATAACCAAATAAGATTGGCGGCGAAAAAAAAAATTCTAACCAAATAAAATAAATGAAGAATACTGTATAGGTGAAGACTTCAACCAAGGTATTAGGTAAAAAACAAATAAATTAACGAAGTTATATATTACCTCTAAAATAAATAGTTAATGAAAATTCTTTATCAAGACAAAAATTAACAACACAAGAGTTTAATCAATCTTTATTTTCTAATTTTTTTTTTAACCCATTTTTTGTGCATATACGTTTTTATGAACATTAAAATTTAGAAAACAGTTAAATTAATTGATTATAGATTATAAGCCATATTTGGATCATTTATGTTGTGAACCAAGAGAATTAGAACTTGTATCCAACGTTTTAATTTTCAAAACTAAACCAAAGCTGGAATGCTTCTCTTTCGGTCGGAACAGATCAACTGTGGTGCAAAGCAATAAAATATTTTGATAGAAAGAAATAAAAAAAAAAAAAAAAAACTATCTCTTGAAATATTTACAAAATTTTCATTCAAATTAGATCTCAATTATAACAAATAAGATTCATACATGAAAAAAAGTAAGATTTTTTTTTTTATGCCAAGACTCGAATTCTCAACCGCACATTTGTAGAGTAATTAATGACCGTAATTATATGATCAAGACTACTTGGTCTGGTGATTATATATTTAACACTGAAACTCCATTTGCTTCAATGTAAAATATATTTTTTTTCAGGTAAAATATTTTCTTTCAATTTTAATGTTCGGTGTTTGATAAAGGAGGTCGAGTCTATCGGGTGAAACGTATAAAATAGTTTGTCGAAAATTAATGAATAAGTTATTTTTATTAAACTTTAATATTTTTTTTTTTTTGTAAATATTTTTCGACAATTAAATACCAAAAATTACAAAAAATATTTTTAAAATAAAATATTTTACGCTCAAATATACGGAGCCTAAGTCTAATATATATATTTTTGTTCATACT